AAACCTTTATTATGCAAGTCATTCGAACAAGTTTTTCAAGTATTTTCGACTTTGATTATTGAGCACGTTTGTTTATTTGCTTGTTAATTTGTTTGCTCAAATGAAGAGCGAAATATGAATACCTTTTAATATAACTAATTAATTATTTAAGTGATAACAGTCTGTGTTACACAGTCTTTAAGAGAGATAAAGAAAGATAGGGAACGAAAGAGAAACAGAAAAAGTGAGAGGTGAAGAGAAATGGAAAGAGCGAGAGAATATGGGAAAGAATGAAAGAGTGGGGGAGCTGGAAAGAAAGACAGTGAGAGAGAGAGAGAGATAGAGAAAATATGAAGGTGAACCAGAAATATTTCAAATAATATAAATAAATGTTGTATAGCATATATACTTAGGCAAAAAAAAAAAAAAATAATAATAATAATAAAAATGATTTAGTATCTCAACGAGATATTGTACATGTGTCTGTAATACAATGACACATATATTTCTGTCAATACCTCCTAACTCAAATAAAGCACTCAGAAATTGTTCTTCAGCATTAAGTGTATCAAGGTATTACGCCATAATTAATTGCTGCTCCATTCATTGTCAACAGAACTCCTATTAGCAAGCCTGATGACAATAAACAGCTTGACAAATACTTAGCAACCGTAAAAGTCTCGGCCATTCGCGCTAAGTATTCACGTTCTGGAGGTGATTTAAGATGCGTGTAATACGATTTGCAAACCATTTATTGAATCACGCCAGTTGAACAATAGTGAGCAGAATCAAAATACTGTTCAAGTGTTTCTAAGTTGCTTCATTGACGTAAACCTAACAATGCTTTGTTTTAGGGTATAATTAAGAAAGAAAAAACACTTTAATAATGTACAAACAAGTCGTAAACCTCTTTTAGTCATTCTAAACATCATACTTTAATATATTATACATAATAATAGATCACTTTTAATTGCAGATGAGGAATTCTATTATACGGCCAGCGATCGATCGATTCGCAAATACAATGCAGCCACAAAGGAAAATACAGTATTTTTGGAATCCACATTTTTGGTATGTATTCCCAATTAAATAAAAATCAGATAGTTCAAATATATACTATAATATATTGTATTTGTGCTCTTAGAATACATACAGTGGGGCTACATTTACGCTCTCTGCGGATAATACCAAAATATTGGTACGTTACAATTTGACCGGGAAATTCCGTTACTCGAATGTGGCCCAATACGATGTGTATGACATCGCATCGAACTCGGCGATCAAGATACACAAGGGCGAGAAGCTGCAGTATTGCGCCTGGTCGCCGCTCAAGGATCGGCTGGCCTATGTCTATCAGAACAATGTGCACATCCATTTCAATGAGAATCTGGAGGTGGCCATCACCGAGGATGGCAGAGATGGCATCGTGTATAACGGTGTGCCCGACTGGGTCTACGAGGAGGAGGTGTTGAGCAGTGGCAGCGCCCTCTGGTGGTCGCCGGATGGCACTAAACTGGCCGTTGGCTTCTTCAACGACACCAATGTGGAGACCTTCAGATATTTCCTGTATGGCGACTCGGACAATGAATACCATCAGTATCCACATGAGGAGAATCTGAAGTATCCGAAGAGCGGCACACCTAATCCGACTGTCTACCTCCGGGTCTACGATCTGGCCGACAACGATCCCATTATGCAGCGCATCGAGGCGCCCGTCGACATTGTCGGCTCCGATCACATACTCCAGAATGTGGTCTGGTCGGATAATAGTCATTTGCTCATCACCTGGATGAATCGTCGCCAGAATCTATCGACGCTGCAGCGCTGCAGCCCCCAGGGCGTGTGCAAGGAGGTGACCAGGATTGAGGAACCCGACGGCTGGGTGGCCATGAGCACGCCCAAATGCCTGAAGAACGGCCAGAGCTGCATCTTTGCCTACTTCATCGACAACTGGTATCAGGTGTGGAATCTCAATTTGGAGGCGGGCGTCAACAGCTGGAAATCGCGAGGCGAATTCACAGTGCTCAATGTCTATGGCTATGATGAGGTCAACGATAAGCTGTAAGTATTTGGTACATACTGCTAACTATATAAAAGGGGTACCTAATTCAATGCATAAGTAATGTATATAATTTATATCTCTAAATAGTATAGTCAATGAATCTTGACATTGAGCTCAGTTATTAGTCGATTATAGTATATAACAAAGTACTGTAATAAAGCTAGTTAAAGAACGTGTTATATCTATCTAGAAAAATATACTTTATTGAGATTTTATGCTGAAGAAAGTTATTGAATGAAATCCGTATCCTATCCAGTTCCTTATCAGTTTCACTCTCTAGGCGTCAAAACAAGCTCGAGCTCTCTAATAGTACCCGTCTTAGAAACACGCTGCGCTGCGCTGAACAAATTTATTCGAATTCATTCATATACAGACAAACATATTAGCGTTCCCATTTCCTATGAAATCATTGTAAAATAATAATCAAATAATCTAGAGCGCATTGGAAATACGGGTCAATAATCGATGTTGATCATTTTCTATTTATCTATGCAAAATTATTGATAATCTTTATACAAGAGTTTTGTATAGTTAGAAAATTTCACGATTTGATATTATCATATAGATTAATATTTATTGACGTCAAAAGAGCAAAGAATGATATGGGTGATACTCCTACTCTACATAAATATCCATCTGAAAGAACAAGTTTCGAGCTTCTCTTTAACAAAATATTTAATTTGCTATGGATATATATGTGTGGGTATTCTATATTAAGATATTACAATTCCAAAACTTAAAAAGCATAGAAGTTAAATAATGCTACTTAAAAATCATGTTTTACCTAAACATATCTCTCTTTTATACTAACTGTGGGCCTCTTAATATATAGATCTCTCTCAATGTCTCTTTCTCTCTCATATCGCTCAGTTACTATCAGGCCACGCTGCCAGGGGATCCGGCCCAGTATCATGTGTTTAGCAACGACGATTGCCTGAGTTGCAATAAAGTGGATGCAGACGGTGCCACGTGTCGTTCAGCCAGTGCGACATTTAGCAAGGGTTTCTCCTACTACACACTCAGCTGCACGGGTCCCAATCCCAGCTATACTCAAGTCTGGGAATCGGCCACACATACAAAGGTCGCGGACTGGGAGCTGAATAGCGCCTATCGGGCTCAGGTGGCCACTAAGCAGATGCCCACATATCGTTATCTGAATGTCTCCTTGGCGGATGGCAGCATTGGCATAGCCAGGTTGGCGTTGCCACCTAATTTCGATGAGAACAAAAAGTATCCCATGATTGTTAATGTCTACGGCGGACCCAATTCGGTGCGAGTGACGAGTGCGTTCACGGTCGGCTACGAGGCCTTTGTGGTCACCACAAGGAACACCATATACGCCACCATCGATGGGCGTGGCACGGGAAATAAGGGCAAAAAACTGTTGTTCTCGGTGAACAATGATTTGGGCGATCACGAGGTGGAGGATCAAATCTTTGTCACCCAATGGCTGCAACAAAACTTCAAATTTATCGATGCCCATCGTACGGGCATTTGGGGCTGGAGCTATGGCGGCTATATGACAGCAAAAACTCTCGAAAAGGACAATAATCATGTATTCAAATGCGGTGTTTCCGTGGCGCCCGTTACCTCATGGCTTTACTACGGTAATATAGATAGCTTTTCCTGGATGTATATAGTGTATTTAAAGTGAATTTTCTTGATTTAGATACGATATATACGGAACGCTATATGGGCTTGCCCACCGTGCAGGATAACGAGCTCAAGTACAATGAGAGCAGCGCCTTCAGCAATTTGGATAATTTCAGAACCCATGGCTTTCTACTGATCCATGGCTCGGGCGATGACAATGTGCACTATCAGCACTCGCTGCTGTTGTCCAAACTCTTACAGCACGCTGATATACCCTTCGAGGAGCAGGTGCGTATGATATGATACTATAGTTATATGTATAGATTATGATTTAATTTAATTTATTTTATTTTTTTTTAATTTATTTTATTATCTATTTTATGCTTATAGACCTATACTGATGAGAACCATAGCATTGGCAATGCTACGCCGCATTTATATCATACCATAGATCATTTCTGGCAAAACTGCCTGACCAATGCTGCCACTAAAAGATAGATTATTGTATATATATATATGTATAGATTGCTACAGTATCAAGAGCATCATCAGCAAAATGGCCTTATAAATAATGCAAATGTTTATTATGTCCAAAGAAAATTCTCCTTTTCTGTTAGATTTATCAAACTGTGTTATCGTTTCATAAAGCTGTCATCGCCTCTATGTAAATATATATATGCATATAAAAATAAAATAAAATCGATTTTTGAAAACCCTATTAAATATTATTAATAATATTTTGTCTTCTCTATCCTTCAATTTGAAATTTCAGTAAGAGGTAGGTATAAAACAATTATAATATAAACTTTTCTATATATTTTTAAACAGGTTTAGTTTTTTTTTTTACCTTACCCTTGTGAGAGTTTCACTCTTTTGTCACACATTATATATAATGTAGAGGCATTGACTACAATTGAAAATCCATTACAATTTTCCGATAATAAACCATTCCGGAAGCCCAATAAAAATGCGCACGTGTATTGTGGCCAATGGTCAATTTAACGGGACATATACCAACCACAACGTCACAGCAAAGTTAAAAAATAATGAGAAAAAAGGAAAAACCCTATTACTATAAACAATTTAATAACAAAGGCATTTGGCTGGGCTCATGACCGCAAAGTGCATTAAACGGTTAAAATGCAAAATTTATGCGCTTGCAGACTGAGAGAGAATATGGCTCGAATTAATGATATTACGATTACATTTATTGCAACTGTGTATATCTTACACCAAATGCAAGGATTAAGCATTATTCGAAGGCAATTAATTAGCCTCAGTTTATGGCAGAGCTTAAAATTAATGAAGAATTTATGTATATGGACAAATATGTATGTATATATATATATTTATGTATATATTTATGATATGTTAAACGTAGTTGACAAACGCAACGATGAGAAGTCGTAAAAGCAATTTAATTGCAGACTTATTTATTTCAAATTAATGATAATTTAAATAATTCAGTGTAAAAGAAAAAGATTTATAAATGCTGGCATTCACTTAAATCTTTATTTAAATTTTTAAATTTTTATTTTTAAATTATTTTTTATTTATTTATATATTTATTTATTTATTGATTTTATTTATTTATTTATTTTTTGTTTAATTGCATAACAGTGTTTAAATTAGAGCAATTTTTGATTGCACTTTAATGTGCTGTCAATGGCGAATGTATTTGTTTAACATTTGTTGATGGTTTTTTCAATCAATAGTTCTTCACTCTTTCATCCTCTCTCTCTATATATCTCACTCCCTCTTTGTTCTGTTCAGTCTTTGTTTTATTGACTTGCCTTTCAATCTGTTAAATTTGCTGCAACGTGCTTTGGCCCTTTTGTGTGTCCCTCAGGTGTCGCGTCAGTTATGCATCGCTGCGCCAATGTGTGTGTGGCAAGCCGACAATAAAAATGGAGAACAAAAACACGAAAAACGAAAAACAAATGAAAAATGAAATACGAAAACAAGAAAACATTGAAGAGCAAGAGAAATCTGTAATGCTTACAATGACGATGTTGATTGTTGCATTAAAGCTGTTTATACTTTGCTCTCTTTCGCACTCTGTCATTTTTCCTCCTCTCTCTCTCTCTCTTTCCGTTGAGCTATTTAAAGCAACATTTTGTCGTTGTTCAAGTTAATTGTCTGCCTTTATTTTTTTTAAATTAAATTGTCACTGTAAAATGGAAAATGAACGCAGAGACAATAACATATTCAGCACGCGTTTTTATTTATCCCCTGCTGCATAAATTTGTTCAGTTCGTCCACTGACGATGTAATTAAAATATGAGAGATGCCTGGCTCAAAAAGTGTGTATGAGTGCTTTACACACACACAGAGGCATACTTTACGGACGCTAGCTGCATGTATGTATGTGTGTGTG